AAACGCAAAATGAAATTTTGATTTCCAATCATAAATATCTTGATAATCAGACAGGTGATTGGCTTGTAAAAGTCATGGGGTTCCTGACTGACCTAAAGGTTTATAAGGCCTAAAATAAAAACTTGTTGTTTTGCGACCGACCCAAAAATCTGAAAATGTACGGTCGGCATTTAAAAAAAAAAACAACAATTTTTTAGATTTTTTTTATTAATGAATCAAAAAAATATGTATTTTGTTTGTTAAAATCAAATTATTCCAAAATTCTCACTCGTGCAAACCATGGATAATTACGAGGTGAAAAAGATATCAATGGAATGATGACGTTGAAACACATGTATTGCCAAAAGAGGGCGGGAAAAAAAAGAGGAACAAAACAACAACATTCAAATTTGAAAAATATCGGCTCAAAGAGGGCAACAAAAAACAAAAAAACTTTTCCGACCGACCGACCCATGTTTTGGCACCCAAAGGCTTGCGATTTTGTTTCAGAATCTGAGAAAAAGTTTCAGATATGGCACAGTAAACCGACGCCAAAAAAGCCGCCTACGGTTTTTAAGCACTGCACTCTGTTATGTCACAAGGAGCCAGATAATGAACTTGACAATTCTTGTCAATCATTCGGTTCAGTAATGTACCCGCGGCATCACAAATCATTTGTATATCAGACTACATGAGCAAAATCCTGAAGCACACTCTTTAATGAAAACCATGAGTAGTGAACATGTATTGTGCAGAAGATTTAAAACAACAAACTCTTCATTAGTGAAAACTACATGTACTTTAAACTTGCAAAGGTACGTATAAATTCTTTTCATCACAATGCTAATAATGTGCAAAAGCATACAGCGAGAGAGGAGGGAGGAGAGAGAGAGGGGGAGAGAGAGAGGGGGAGAGAGAGAGGGGGAGAGAGAGGGGGCGAGAGAGAGGGGGCGAGAGAGAAAGGGCGAGAGAGAGAGAGGGGGTGAGGAGAGAGAGAGAGAGAGAGGGGGGGTGAGGAGAGAGAGAGAGGGGTGAGGGGAGAGAGAGAGAGAGGAGAAGAGGAGAAACACACACAAAGATACAGATAATGGGAGGGAAGCGACAGACAGGCAGGCAGATATACCAGTAAAGGGGAGAAGGGGGTGGGGGGGGGGGGGGTAAAATAATTGGAAATAAAAATGAACCTTTAGTTGATCCCTGATGAGTGTAGCGGTTGATGCAGCTGCTTGGGCAGTGTCCCTCTGGATGGTAGTTCCAAATTCACCCAGATCCCTTCTCATCTGAACCCAAGCACTGCCGGACTATGGGAGGAAAAATATGAGTAATTGAGTATATTGTAAGTACATGTACCTACAGTAGTGCTTAAAATAAAGTAGACACTCTCACACTGTGTCACTTCCATAGACTTTTGTGTGACTAGATGGTAATGTGTCTACTTTTCTTCAAGCAATACTGTAGATCTAGACATAACAAGATATTATGCTACCTTATCATACCTTTTGCAAACAAAGTATGAGAAGTCAAATGTCAAATTCAGCACAATGTCCTGGACTATGAACGTGCATAACTGCACAATTTAACAAAAGAAACAACAAAGATCAACTTTTCAAGTTTTACAGTGATAGACACTCATGCCAAAATTTCAGTTATTAATGTAAATATGTGTTAAAATCATGGAAATAAAAACCCCACTTGAGGATAAAAGAAAATAAAAATTATTTGTTTTTGCACTAAATCTTTAACTTCAAGACAACAATTTTCAATCGTATTCCCCTAATGTCTGATCTCATCTTTCTTAACCTAGTCTTATCCTAAAGAATAAGTGTGCAGAAAATCTCATGCATCAAAATTTGAGTAAGAACAATGTCATTTTTCACAAAAAAGGTGGCACTGGTGTCAATTTGACATTGCAAAAACTAAGGTTCACTCATTCACTGCACACACTGTTTGGGATTTTATTTTTAACCTATTTTGAGGATTGTGGATAAAATTACTTAGATACATGTAAGAAGACTCTTCTCATCGCTCATTGGTGTTTTACTTTTGTTCTCACAAGTATACTATGTATAACAAAAATAGTGTTGGCTCACTTGGCTGTGTGCTTTGTTATATCAAAATGGTGCAGTTCACATATGCAAAGACATCTAACGTTAGATATTGTTCTTGCAAGTCTTCCTCAATTTTTAATGAGATTCTTGTGCACAATTACTCTTCAGATTTAAGCACGAGAGGAATATAATAATTATCTGATTATTGCAATCATACTTCATACTAGGCCTACATGTAGATCTAGGTCTCCTTAATGATTGAGTAAGTCACAGATTGTTGACCATGTTAACCCACTTGCGAGGCAAGGTTCTTCACAATTTCACTTTGACAAAACATCATAAATGTTGTCAACGAACACTGATGTATTTTGAAATGATAGACTAATTTAATCAATCTTAAACTTCAGCAAACTGCTTCTCTGATCTTACTGTTTCCACAAAGTTAAACCTCTTACAAAATTAGTAGTGCTATTTAATAATAAAGTAAGCTATAAGCTAAATATATCCTTTTCATTAATGTCAAAAATGATGATAACGACTTAAAATTGTCATTGTTATTGCTACCTTTTCCTGCACAGTTTTCAACAGTCCACCCATGCCCCACCAATTCCCTCCGGCTTCGCCTTCGCCTTCCTCCTTCTTGGCGTTGCTGCAAAGAACAAAACAGAACAAAATTTCAGTCAATTCAATTAGCAATTATTTAACTAAAACACACATTAATACCTTAATAGCATTTCATTAAAAAGAAGCACGGAAATTAGAGTACCTTTCAGCCATTTTCTGCTCCTGCTTTGTTATCATTTATTACGTGACGAGGGTTTCTTATTTTTGTTATGTTGCGCAATCCAAACGATAGAGGGCGAGATAACGTTTGATTTCATTTTCTGAAGAAAAGACCGTTTGGTATTTCCCCCATTTTCTTTTTTCTTGTTATGACATGTATTTCTATCCTTTTCTTTCTTTCTTTTTGGGGGTCATTTTCTTTCTTCTTTCTTTTTCTATTTCTTCGGCCTTTTTTTCTTTCTTTCTTTCTTTCTTTTTTTTTTTTTTTTTTTATATTTTCTTTTTTTCTTCTTTTTTTTTCTCTCTTTCCTCATCTTACGTTCTTCTTTTCTCTTATCCTCTTTCTAGGCTGGAGCATTTATTGACTTTTTGATTGATTGATTGATTGATTGATTTTTATTCGACAAGCTTCCAACACACAATCAAAACAGATATAAGTAAGCTTGAACAGGATAACCCACGAAAGCTCGAGAGCTTATTTCTAGTGGGGTCCCCTACAGACATGTACAAAATGAATAAGTTAAAATAGTAATATTTACAGACAGATAAGGAAAATAAAAATAATTACTTATTAAAGATAATAATAACAACAACATTTAACTGATGATAGAAATGATAACAAGTACAGGAAGAAAAAGAAGAAGGAGAAGAAGAAAAAGAGGAAGAGGAAGAAGAGGAAATAATGATGAATTTGTAGAATTTCTATAACGTATATACAAAATGAAAAAGTATGAACCGGCAGAAGAATACAAATTTCAATCATATAACATGTCATTCACTTCTCTTCTCTGACTCTCAAGTATTAGGTATTAGATAAAACTGAGGGAGTTTACAAAGTAGCGATGAAATTTTTGAAAATAGAAGTTGTAGAGGAATATGCCAGGACTTGAACAGTAGAGAAGGAAGGAAAAAAGTCATGAAAGAGAAAGATGAATATAATCAAAATATTATGAGATTTTTCTGTTTCGCAATAATTCATACTATTGAAAAGGCATTTTGATGGCTTCAACTTAGAATGAATGCAAAATTAAGTATGCCTCATACTTCGGCTAGGGCATATTACGGGGGTGTGCCACTCTAATGGGTAACTTTTTCACACACAAAAAAATCCCTATTAAAACATGGGTCCCATTTTCAACAAAAATACCCCTGAATTACATGGGTCCGTTTTTCAAAATTTTCAAAATTTTGAAAAAAGGGCCCTACTTAGAGAAAAAATTGCAAAAATGACCCTAAAATAGGTTGGGGTTTTGAGGCTTCAGCGGCACACCCCCGTCTAAACCAAATCTGAGTACCCCCCCCCCCCCCCCCCGCTAAGGTGAGAAAACATACGTTTTTTACAAGTCGGATTTTACTTTTCAATACCATGGACAAAACGTAATTTTTTTAAAAAGGCCCTGAACTTTAATTTAAACAGTGACAGAATTATCAAATGATTATGCACGAATAAACGTTTATTTGAACGTTAATTAATCTGGGTCAATATTTGCAGCCTACACCCCCCCCCCCTCATCTTGCGTACATTCAAATGTTATTGATTATAATTCAAACAAATAGGATCATTTTCAAATTTGTATAAATAATGTTACAACTACAGTGTTACATACTTAAATAATTGAGTGCAAAAGTAAAAGAAAAAGACAATAGCAAACGAGGAATGGGAAAAAACTAACGACTACTTCATGGAAGGTATACAGCCCCTTGGGATGTTTGTCCCCCCCCCCCCCCCCCCCGTCGCGTTATGTGCGTGTTGAGCCTATGGGAAAGTTTAGGGTTAGGGTTAGGGTTAGGGTTAGGGTTAAATCAAGACCTCTTTTTTAAAAAAAAGCCCCAATCTGTGCTGCAGAAAAAAAAATGACGCCCCCCCCCCCCCCGGTCCCAAACTGCTTCCGACGCGACGCTCCTGACCTCCACCGTTACTGAAATGCGAATTAAACAGGCATTGATTTGGGGAAACGGGGAGGGTTAATTCACCCTTTTAATGCCCCTCCCGTAGGCACCCCCCCCCCCCCCCCCCCCCATTAAGACCATCTCAAATGATTCAATTTTCTTGTAGGCCTACATGTATTTTGTTATGGAATGCAGATTATGTTTGTAGACACACACGGCGCTCCATACTCACAAAATACAAGAAGTGCGTACACAGCTTTGTATGTATTTTTATATGCAGCGCAAGCACTGAGCAAGTCGAGCAAACCTGAGAGATTTGTTAGGTTGGTTGCAATTATTAATTTATTATCGTCAAAATGAGTAATCCACGATATGGAGGCCGGTCAGACATCAATGCTAAAATAAAACTTGGACTGTCAAATGGATCTTTGGATAGTAGAACCAGCAACTTACAACGTGGTGGGTTGAACAAGGTGAGGAAGTTGAACTAAAAAAATAGTCCCAAAATGTGATTGTGTAAAAAATAATGTGAGGGTGATCGTGATCTTGAGTGGGTGGCCGTGGCTAAACTGCATCCATGCACAGATGCATGGGTGAGTCTGAGTCTCTGAACTCTGTATGAACTATGATTATCATTCATTCTACCTGTGTATTCCAATATCTCTTCTTGCATATATTCTTATGAATTTGATTCCTTTACATACAAATTGTAATGATTGTTTCACTAAAACTATGCACTAAACTAGTCTACCGGTAGACTGAAATTTCTGTCTCTTTCGTTCGTTAGCCTCAGAATTGGGTAGGGTCAGCTTCTCGATCCTCTCTAGTCTTAGGAGCCGACCCTACCCAAATCAGAGGCTAGCGAACGAAAGAAACAGAAATTTTCGGTCTAACACTAATCATGCTAAATGACTATCACTCCAGCTTTGTCATGCTTTTTTCTTATAGGGGCCTACATAAAACTTTAATAGTCGTTTGTTGTGAGTCTCCAAACTTTGTAACTAGAAAGTAGAATCTAGGGACTAGACTAGTCAGTGGAAAACATTTTTTATCACACCTCTGAATCTCTGAGAAAGACAAAGGAGACAAAAAAAAGAAGAAGTAGAAAAGGAGGAGGAGGAGGAGGAGGAGGAGGAGGAGGAGGAGGAGGAAGAGGAAGAGGAGGAGGAGAGGGGGAGGAGGAGGAGGAGGAGGGGAGGAGGAGGAGGAGGAGGAGAAGAGGAGGAGGAGGAGGAGGAGGAGGAGGAGGAGGAGGAGGAGGAAGAAGAGGAAGAGGAGGAGGAGAGGGGGAGGAGGAGGAGGAGGAGGAGGAGGAGGAGGAGGAGGAGGAGGACGAGGAGAAGATAGTGGTGGTAGTGCCATGATGGTAGAAGAAGAAGAAGGAGAAAAAGGACAGGAAGAAAAAAACTTGTAGAAAGGAATTGTACACATGGTATCAGTATGATAGGGTTTTCTGCCTTCTCTCCTGAACTGATTTTGTACAATGTATATCTATTGGTTCCATTTATTATACCCAAGAAGGAAGTTAGGCTTAAAAAATTATTATCTTTACAACACCCACACAATATAACTACATGTAGGTCAGATATTTTGCATTGTGCTACTCGGTGTAATTGTTATAGTCCTTTCCTGGCCAAAGATCCCATGATCTGGCACTCAAATTGTCTGTTATAGACTCTACTCCTAGTTTCTCTTTTGGATTTCTGGAACATGAGGAGAGGGTTACATTGAACTTCCATGTTTAATAACCCATTGCCTACATGAACCGGTGGTCCCTGTTTTAAGCCTATGGGAGTTAAAAAAATTCAGTAGTCAGCGAGTTTTTTATGTACATGTAGCTCTATAGAGGTCTATGCCACATAAATAATCTCCCTGTGCCACATTGAGTGATTTCAAGTTGGGTGTTTAAGGCTGGTGTTAGTGTTTAATAAACACTAACACCAGCCTAAACACTGAAATGGAAATCAGCTGGTGTTAAGGCTTTGACCTCTGAATATCTTCAACTTCCGGTAGCTAGTGTTATCGATTTTGCAAAATTGTCTGGTGTGGCTGGTGTTAATATTTTACGTACAAATGTCCTTTTCACTAACACTAGCCCCTAGGGATTAAGCAAATGTTGATTTCCAGTTCGGTGTTAGTGTTGTACCCGCACACAGTCAACGCACGAACGACGCCAATTTATTGTCCGACGATCAAATAAAAATATGTGAAACAGGTAATTCATATATTCTTTTCTGTAAAATTAGTTATTTTCTAAGACCAGAGAAATAGGTGTAAATTTATTCTGTACTTTTCATGATACCTTTAGTTTTGATGAACTATTTTTAAATCATCGTCGTAAAATCAAGTACATGTATGTGGTGACGTCACGGCTGGTGTTAAGCTATCAATTTTGATATCGTTATCGGGCTCTTAATTTCATCAGCAAATTCTCCGCTCGATTTAAGAGCTCTTGACTGCTCTAAACACTAACACTAACACCAAACTTGAAATCACTCATTGTATTTATCATGGGATAAATCTAAAGGGTCAAAGATTATCTAACTGTTTCAAGTGCAAGATTGATATCGATATTAAAAGCATTTTCATGGAACTAATTATCAAGACTGTACATGGGTAATTTCGCAAAGCCATTGGGTTGCACAAACTAGCAATCCCTCCGTCAATTGCCCATTGTTTTGAGCATGAGTGCATGTTTGGCAAATGAGCAGCCATGCAGAAAGGCAAATATTTAAATAAAGCAACCAAAGTGTTAGTTCACATGTGATTTTTGTCCCAAACAAACTCCTAGAACTAAAATTTTCTTACCCCTTGTAATTGATTTTTTTTGTGTGTGTGTGTGTGTTTTTGCAGCTCAAGAATGAAAGGTGGACTGTTTGAATTAGGACTCTTGAATCTTGAATCTTGTTGAATACATGTACTGTATGTTGAACTTCTATCTATGTAAGGTTTGATATGCCACATTCTCAAAGAATCCATTTTTCACATCCTAAAATATTACAAAACTTGGTAAGGCTACATGTACATGTATGTATAGCTTAGTTGTTAATTGTATGTCCAGATCCCCTTCTACAAACAATAATGTCCAGGCCGACGCTAACCCGTGCCAGGGAGAGCGGCGGCCGCTTGCATAGTACCGTCGGTAAAAATGTTTCCCAACTCAAGCACTGTCAAACTCACGACTCAGAAACTGGGACCAAATGTCCGGATTTCTGTTTGGACTCGGAGGAAAATTCTGCCATCTTTGGTTTTTAAAACAGGATTGATTGTTATTATTATTATTATTAAATCGACGCCTTCAACTGCAACTCGATGTAAAAAATTGCATGCGCTTTCGGCAATGGACTTGGGATACTGCTCCAGTGGTATGGTGGTGGCAAAAAAAATCCAAAATCCCCCCCCCCCCCCAAAAAAAAAACAACAACCCAAAAATAAAAAGAAAATAAAAAAATTCAAAAAAGACTCGGCGTCCAAATATTTGAGTATTCGCTTGTAAGCCTGGGAGTGTACTCGGGTACCTCATTACACTGTTGTGCACAGCCTTAATTTATATAGTGATCTTATGTGCCTGCATTACAGTTGTATAGCAGGCAAATATTGTTTGTCTCGTTATTGTTCGCATACTTATGGTTGGTAAGGGTTGCTGTTTAAGAGTAAGAAGTAATTACAATGTATGAATAGGATTAGGAATGTGTTTAGTATAATAGTTTAGTACTGTATGTTCATAGGGAGCTCTGGCATAAGGATTGAAAAGGATGATACTTGTAGATTAGAAGAAATTTGAAGAAATTATAGAAAAGGCTATGTTATTTAATTAATTGCCTGTCCTCCTTTCTGTCTCTCCTGCCCTGTAGAAGTCAAGCAGGGTGAAGAAGTCTGTATACCTGTGGACTGCCGCTGATGTTAGATCATGGCTACAGAGGAAACACAGAGATTACTTTGAACGGTACTACTCGCTCTTCCTAGAGCATGATATATCAGGTAATTAATTGTTAATTATTATGAATTATTATCATTCTTTAGTCAACGAGGTTGTGAAGTTTATTTGTTCATTTATTTCCATCTTCATATAAAAACAATAACAAAAACATGCAATTTACCTGCCGAAAATAAGAAAAGAGGAACTAAAATACATGTAAGGCCAAAAGGACTTGTAAAATAAGTTCCATAAAAGTATAAAATCATCATTATGGTTTATTAAAAGCCAGTGCACTGTTTACAGAGATGTTGCGGTCCAGTGGATAAGTCTCTGGACTGTGAACCACGATCAATTGATTGAAATGCTCGAGCACTGTAATGGCAGCCATGCTAAAGCCAGGGTAATATGGAGCGCCAGGAGTGGCAATGTGCCAGACAAAAGCGCTATCGGTATTCAAAACTCCACTATAATTATTATTAATACATACATGTATGTACCGTAAACCATGCATGAGGCCTACATTATACAGATCAGGAAAAGAAAGGTTCTAGAGCATGCTATCAAGTATTCATCCAATCAAATCAAAAGAATAGGCCATTTTCGTGATATAACCAAAATTTATACTTTTAAAAGCTAGTTCCTCAATAGTAATTATTTCATTTACCTGCTTGGAATAATTGTATTTAGATAGTGAGAATGCAAATCAAAATATACGTGCTGATAGGTAGGGCAAGTAATAATGTATGCAATTTGAATTCTGCTCTATGTTGGGCATGAGGAAGGGGAAAATTATGATTGATGAAAGAAAAAAATAAGTAAAAACAGACAGAATCTGGACTAGCTTTATATTGTACATGCAATAACTGTATGCCTACACATTAACAACAAAAGTTACACCACATACTGTAGTTTCGATGGTTAAATATAGATGCACAATTGCACAGTCAACCATGTTAATTGTAGAGAGGAAGTTGTAGTAATATGAGCGTTTGGACTCAGTTTCACCCTTCAATGAAAACTAATTGATGAATGTAACTTCTTTACTACATTGTGTATTCTATTAACGATACCCTGTCTCTGCCTGTGGTTTGCAGTGACTTATTAAGGGGTACACGGTACAATAGGTATAAATAGCTTAGCATTTAACGCTTGTGTATAGAAGGAATATACTCATCATAGGAATATGATAATAATAATAACAACAGAAATAACAACAACAACACAAATTTTGATAATAAAAATGAGAATGATAAGGATAAAAATAATATTTCCTGTAAACCTAGGGTCTATAGTCTCATCAGTATTAATACCGGTACTCAACTTCTCACTGAGGGCCCTGCTATCACATTAATACCCCGGCTTTAGCCAAGCTGCCATGATAAGGCGCCCAAGCATTCAAGGAATTTCTTCCTACTGGGGTACCCACAATGGTCGAGAGATTCAAGACTGACTCGAGAGTGGCAAATATAGATTGAAATCTAAAGTGTGCATGCATGTACTGGATGAACATGTAAAATGATCCTAAAGACTTCAAGCAATTAAATCCAGCAAGCATGAATACCCTATTGTATTGCCCTTAGAAATTATGTTTGGATTATGTGCATCAATGAATGTCTTTTTATATTTGCACAATTCCATTGGAAATGAACAATCTAATGAAAGTGCCCTTATGATAATTTTTGTTTAAAGCTTTGTGACCATGTTTTGTTCTCAAACTATTACAAAAATCATGAATTCATTGCAATTCAAAGTTGCATACTGTAGCTTTCATACTACAAGGTAAGAGTTCTGGTAAAATACAAGAAATAATACAGTATGAAAATCATATCATTGCAATTTTGTGTTTATTGTACAAATCTTTAATAAAGCTCTTGTGATTATAAAGAAGTTTCAATTCTAATAAGAAAATGAAAATTGAAGGGTGATGTTCCTGAACACCAAGTGTAATGACTAATAGTTCACTTGAAGTATTATTCATCACTGCCAGATTTTTCCAAGAAACAAATGATTCATGAAATCAGCCTATACTTGCTCTGGGGAGTGTTTCACAAAGACTAAGATCAACTTTAAGTTGGACTTAACTATGGCAGGCCAATGAGGCCATTCATGCCACTGGTTGCTCTCACCATTGGTCTCTCAAATCTTATCTTTTGATGATATTTTCTCCTTCCATAATAAATTATCAAAAAATGTAGATTTGTGACCATGATTTGTACGTCCCATGCCAGGAGTGGTTAGAGGAACTAGTGGCATGAACAGCCTGCCATAGTTAAGTCCAACTTAAAGTTAGTCTTTGTGAAACACTCCCCTGCTGTGCACTAGGATTTTAATGTATAAAATGGGTGAAGCCAGGGGCAAGCCAAAATCTATCATTGCTCTTTGTTTCATGTATTTCAAATTTAAGCAAGTAAAATATCTTCTCGGGGCTGAGCTGGTATGATGCACAATGTATTTGAAATATTCAATTCATAGCAAACCAGCCAAGGAAGGAAACAAATAAAATCAAGTCTTAGTTTCAACACTCAAGAGTCCCCCCCCCCCCCTTGAATAAAATAGATGAAATAAAAATGGGTACAATGGGATAATTACAGCTCTTTTGGGTGGGATTGTGGAGGTGTGGTTACATGTAGGTGATGAGCATTATGAGTATCTACAAGTCCCATGGAAAACACAAGGAAAAGGAGCTTCTTTTATTAAACAAACAACACTTTTCATTGTTCCATATTCCTTTCAGCATTTCTAGTATGAATTTAAATAAATTAATATAAATGCATATTACCAGCACACTATTTTTTTTCTCCAAAATGTTGACATAAATGTAAATTCATCATCATTAGCTCTTGGCTTTAGTGAATTAGATTTTCCTTATACAAGGTGTAATAATGTTTGATTTCTCATTTTGTTCTTTATCTGCAGGTCGAGCCTTAGTAAGACTGAATGAGATGAAGCTAGAAAGAATGGGGATAGAGAACAAAGAACATAGGTAAGCAGTATAAAAAACTTAACTTCCTCTTTCGCCATAACTATTTCCTACTAATTGTGTTTGTGTAACTTCCTCGTGGAGAAAGTCTAGACCGAAAAATGTCTGTCTCTTTTGTTCGTTAGCCTCTGATTTGGGTAGGGTCGGCTCCTCTCTTTAGGTCGGTTTCTGTCTCTAAAGAGAGGAGCCAACCCTACCCAAATCAGAGGCTAATGAACGAAAGAGACAGAAATTTCGGTCTAGAGAAAGTCATTCAGATTTACATGTATCTGTACATTGAAATTTGTCCTTTCGAATTTGTTATGGTGTAGAATGCTATTTTAGAATTATATGGCAGCTGTCCCTGAACAATACCATCGTAATACCAGGACAACTCCACCATATCCTTTGGAAGGGGATAGGGTACTACTTAGTTTCTCTGATGTACATTTTGTAGACTATACTTCTACAATCCAACAAACAGTGCATTAAAGCCCCACTGCATTAAAGCCCCACTGCACTACTTATAGCTACTTGTGCCCTCTTTATAGCAAACAATGCCTTATCTGTGCCTGTTGATGTTGATGAGAAAACCACATTTCAGTGACCTTGCAGGGAGGTCTAATCCCTCCTGGCCAAACTAGTGCAGACTTTAATAAATGATTTATATCATCTCACTCTTCTCCTTGTTGCATGCAGAATGGACCTTCATGAGCAAATACTAAAGCTGCGGATCAAGCACGAACAGAACGAACTGAGACTGCTACGGAAAACTGATGTTGTGGTGAACAAGGATTGATCAGCTGGGGGCGTTTCACAAAACTTGTCATCAGTGACACATGACAGGTTTTGTTATAAGCTACTGAAATCTTTGCTTCTGATTGGTTATCAATAGATTTGTCACTGATTCAAGTCATTTGTCATTGAAAAAAAGGCTTTGTGAAATGCATCCCAGGATTCAGGACTGAAAGCTCTTAGAGAAAATAGTTACTTGCATTCTCTTTTTCCAACTTTGATGAGACTGTGCTCAGTTCTTGAAGAAAGGCTTTCATTGATGGCAATGAATTGCTCAATGTGAGATCTTGCATGTTTTGTACTATGTAATGCTATTTTCATTCTCCCGTTCCAACTTTGAAGAGACTGTGCTCAGTTCTTGAAGAAAGGCTTTCATTGGTGGCAATGAATTGCTCAATGTGAGATTTTGCAAGTTTTGTACTACAATGCTGACAATAAATAGTTATTTTCATTCTCCCTTTCCAACTTTGAAGAGACTGTGGTCAGTTCTTGAAGAAAGGCTTTGATTGATGGCAATGAATTGTTCAATGTGAGATTTTGTACTACAATGCTGAAAATTTGGGGCTCAAACTCCTGAGAAGGGATTGTTTCATTCTTCCTTTCCAACTTTAAAGAGACTGTGCTCAGTTCTCGAAGGAGGCTTATTATTGATAGCAATGAATACTTCAATGAGAGATCTAGCAAGTTTTGTAATACAATGCAGATAAGACTGGACTCAGTTCTCACCACATGCTGTCATTGATGATAAAAGAAACACTGATGTGAGATTATATAAGTTTTGTACTATAACCTTCTTGCTTTATAATCGCCTGCATGTAGTCGCACCAACGAGACTGACACCAGACCAATAACAGACCTAACAAAATTTTGAGACCCCTTATCGCCATGAGTCTGGTGTTTGAAAGTTTGCTTGGAATCAGTCTGGCAGTGCGACTGAGGTACACTGTTCATGTATGAATGTTTTATTTCATTTTGTGTTATCAGTCTTTGTTTATCATAATGAAAATGTTAAGACTGAACTCAAGGTCTTGAGACAATCCAGCGGAGGCTTCCAAGTAGTGCTGAGGCCAAAAAGCTCTAAGACGTTAGGATGATAGTGATACCAGTCTGGACCCATAGATCTACGTTTGACCTTTGCAGCAAACCTTATTCATCTCATTGATACCATTGCAATAGTAGTATGTAGTAATATAGGAGGAAGGAGTAGTATCAGTAGTAGAAGCAGTAGTAGTATAAGTAGTAGTAGGAGTAGAAGAAGTAGTAGTAGTAGTGGTAGTGGTAGTAGAATAGTAACTTTTATAGAAGTTAAGTTGTCATAGTATTTGATGCAATTCTAGTGGAAGGAGAGGAGGAGCAGGGGGGCATTTCACAAAACTTGTCATCAGTGACAAATGACAGTTTTTGTTATATACCTCACTTAAGAAATCCAGCCATCTGATTGGTCGAATTGCATTCATAAACTTCAACTGTTCCTGTAAAATTCCCGGTAACCATGCATAAAACATTTAATATTTTTAATAACCATGGTTATTAAAAAATAGGTCAGCCTCCATGGTTACCCCATAGGTTTACATGTTAAAAAATGGTTTGAGCGATCGAGGATACCGTATGTGTGCGAAGGATTGGTCGGTAATTTCAATACAATTGAATCTCGATCGATCTTACCGACAATTTTATCTTGCATTGTTGACATGAAGACGAAAATAAACTTCCAAAAACAAAAAAACAACATCTGCCGATAGATCTTGATCTAAGTTCGTGCCAATATGCATTGCAAAAGTAAAAGAAGGGTGCTTTTGCGAAGCATTCATCACGCCGAAGCCGGTTTCAATCCATTTTAATGTATATATTATACAAAACTGCCAAGCATGTGAACAGCGCGCGATGGCCGAGTGGTGTAAGGCGTTGGTGTAAGATTCATCACTCATTATACGCAAGGGTTCGACTCTCACCTTCGACAAAAAAAAAAGTATTTTTTATTTTTTATTTTTTAGTCTATTTTTTTTCGGCATATAAAAGTATTAATGACTGCTTTAATATTCGTGAAATAGTTGTTTTCATACGCTCTCGGGAAGGTTACAATTGGGCTATTCCCCTCGGCAAGCCTCGGGGAATAGCACAATTCTAACCTTCCCTTGAGCGTAATAAAACAACTATTTCTCTCAAAGCAGTCATTAATACTATATTATAAGTTACTGAAATCCTTGCTTCTGATAGGTTATCAGCAGATTTGTCACTGATTTTTGTCATTTGTCATTGAAAAAAGGCTTAGTTTGTGAAATGGGTCCCTGGAGGGGAAGAAAATGGGGGAAGAGAATGGGAAAGAGGAAGAGGGAGGAGAGAAAAACATTCGGAAGGGACGTAATTTGAGGGAGGAAGGAAGAGAAGTAGGAAGAGGAGGAGCAGTATTGTGTGCGTGTGTGTTTCTATTCTTCTACACATATTATGTTTGCAAGTAATGGCATTATAAACTTCGATCCTAAGTTACATGATAATGGCATTGTTTGATACATCATTGTATATCATTTGTTATTTGATTCATCATCATGTACCTGTATATAACACATTTGAACATAAATTTATATATTATCAAACATTTTGTATATTGTTATGTAAATAAACTACATGTCAATTTTATTTGCACAAAAAATAATAATAGAAAACAATAATCCTATTTCTTTGTGTTGTTACTCGATGTGGAGTCTCATGGTGTGCAGGTGTCGAAGCAAAATTGTTGTGTGCAATTCATGCCCCCAAAACCTGTGTAAAGTATTGTGCCAGGAATGAGTGCGGAGTGTACATCAAGAGAGAGAGAGACAGACAGACAGACAGACAGACAGAGACAGAGAAGAGAGACAGAGAGAGAGAGAGAGAGGCAGAGAAGAGAGACAGAGAGAGAGAGACAGAGAGGCAGAGAAGAGAGACACAGAGAGAGAGAGAGGCAGAGAAGAGAGACAGAGAGAGAGAGAGGCAGAGAAGAGAGACATAGAGAGAGAGAGGCAGAGAAGACAGAGAGAGAGAGAGAGAGGCAGAGAGAGAGAGAGAGAGAGAGGGGCAGAGAAGAGAGACAGAGAGAGACAGAGAGAGACAGAGAGAGAGGCAGAGACAGAGAGAGAGAGAGGCAGAGAAGAGAGACAGAGAGAGAGAGAGAGAGGCAGAGAAGAGAGACACAGAGAGAGAGAGGCAGAGAAGAGAGACATAGAGAGAGAGAGAGGCAGAGAAGACAGACAGAGAGAGAGAGAGGCAGAGAGAGAGAGAGAGGGGCAGAGAAGAGAGACAGAGAGAGAGAGAGAGAGGCAGAGACAGAGAGAGAGAGGCAGAGAAGAGAGACAGAGAGAGAGAGGCAGAGAAGAGAGAGAGAGAGGCAGAGAAGAGAGACAGAGAGAGACAGAGAGAGAGAGAGAGGCAGAGAAGAGAGACAGAGAGAGAGAGAGAGAGGCAGAGAGGAGAGACAGAGAGAAAGACAGACGGAATAATGAAAGGTTGGGTATTGAAGGGAGAAAAAAAAAAGTTTTGTCTTCTTTTATAAGCTATCTCTTGGAAACTTGCCTAAATTTGATATCACCTCTATCTTGAAATTTCTTGCTACTAATATACTCTATGTTTTCTTCTCTTCTTGGTATTTCTCTTCCTTTTTTCTCTCTCTCTCCCACTCTCCTGTGTCTAACTCTTCCTCTTTTCATCTCTGCAATTGATTATGTTCCCCACATACTGTACACATACATGTAAATGTCTTTAACAAGATAATGCAGATAAAACACATACAGTAGTTTTCTTAGAATATATTTCTTATTTTCTTTGCATACTGGCGGTGGAATACACACATATATATCTTCATATCTTTACATGACAACAGGGGGATTACAATATAACAACCAAAGGATTATCAAAATACACAATTTAAATATACCTATAGCTAGAGTTCATTCATAAAAAGGGATAAAACGAGTTCTAAAACAGAATTAGATTAGTCCATTTCAACCAATATATGTGTACATGTACACAATGTGTTTCACAACAGAAATTCAGTAAGATTTTTTAATTTTTGGACCGAAATCAGTCAAAGCAACGATTCTTCTTAATCAGCTGATTAATAAACATGAACAGCAAGTATTGTGAGAGTTTTTAATCTAAATAATGATATCAATAAAATTTAATAATCATTATACACATGTTCATAATTGTAATTGCATCCTTCATATTTGCTAAACAATTTTACCAGGATTTTTAGGATGATTATAAATTATCATCCAGGTAAAACAATTAATAATGTTTGGATGTGTCATAAAACTTTTTTTCTAACTATTCCTCATATTCCTTGTCTTTACACATACCTTTCAAAATATAAAAAAATTATATTCATCACTTTTATCTAATCTAATTCAGAATCTTTGGAATTATTATTCTTTACATCAATTATTTTCATTGTATACATTACAATATTCATTATATACATGTTCTTCAGCATTTAATACTTAGTTATTGCATTTAGTTACCAATATATTCATCATCGTGTATACCATTTCTTGTTTTCAATGTTTCTGATATAACCTTCATAATAATTCCATTTAATTCGTCATATTCATTACATTAATTCCTCTTTAAGAGTATGAATATAGGATAAGCATCACATCACTTCCACCTTTTTTGTCTGGTTGTTAACCATCTTCTCAATTCCATTTGTATGGAAAAGTTGAATTCTAATAATAAGTACAAAAGAGTATTCCAACTCCTTTATCCGCATTTACTTTTAGATAAAACAAGAGAATTTACACAAAAAGAACCCCAAAAGTAATATGTTGCAAGAGAAGAAAGGATAGGTGATGGAAAACCAAAGAAAAAATTCTCACAAGAACTAACAAAGAAGCTGACAATCACACCAATGCAATATGGTGCTTTGAATTGCTTGTGGTCAACTTTCCAAACATAATATGTACCGGTAAAAATTAAAGATTTAATCCTTGAATGTAGAGAACAGAGTTTGAAATGCCAGAATTTTTTCATAGTTAGATACCAACTGCAATTTTACA